TTTTATGTAAAAAAATTTAACTCAAAATATCACTCTTTCTTTCACTTTTAAGTGTGCATGTGTGTGTGTGTATGTGTGTGTGTGTTCATAAATAGGAAAGGTAGCAGAAGAATGCAGAGTTACAGTGGGGCCAGCTCGTGGCATGGTGGCTAAGGTGGCTGAATCCCACATGTCCAACTGTACAGTCCAGCTTGTGAAACACATCAAGTGCTTGTGCATGCATGTCCAAAGTCCTGAGGAGAGAGTAATGGAAAAGATGGGATTGTGGTGTGACCATGCCCTGTAGGGAGTACCTTCTTGCTTTCTCTCTGCCTCTCTGTCTCTCTGTCAAGCACATACACTCTCTAGCAAATAGATTTATTTTTCAAATTTGGCCTATGTACTCTTAATTGTTTTCACATCAGAAGAGAAGAGAGTGCAAAGGAGGGTTATATTCATAACTGAGGAACATCAGCATGATAAATAGAGAAAAGCCCTAAGAATACAACTTAGCAAGTATATTGTAAAGCAATCAATAATTCTCCAAAGGAAACGTGGCACATCATCATATAAATATAAACAATGGGTTATTTGAGGATAGTTTGTCCTAAGAAAGTAATTTAATCCTGATTCTCATACAAAAAGGCTTAAAAATTTTGCATAAATAAATCATGGTATTTTACACAATGAAATATTCTGTAGAACTCAATAAAATGTTAAATTTATATATATGCCATAAGAAATATGGATTAGCATTTGAGAATAAAATGTTCAGAATTGTTAAGAAAATATATATCTTTTATGTAAAAAAATTTAACTCAAAATATCACTCTTTCTTTCACTTTTAAGTGTGCATGTGTGTGTGTGTATGTGTGTGTGTGTTCATAAATAGGAAAGGTAGCAGAAGAATGCAGAGTTACAGTGGGGCCAGCTCGTGGCATGGTGGCTAAGGTGGCTGAATCCCACATGTCCAACTGTACAGTCCAGCTTGTGAAACACATCAAGTGCTTGTGCATGCATGTCCAAAGTCCTGAGGAGAGAGTAATGGAAAAGATGGGATTGTGGTGTGACCATGCCCTGTAGGGAGTACCTTCTTGCTTTCTCTCTGCCTCTCTGTCTCTCTGTCAAGCACATACACTCTCTAGCAAATAAAAAAAAAAAGACAAAAAAATGTTATAGCGGTGGTTATTTATAGGGAGAAGCAGAGGATTACAGGTTAAGAAAGTCAAAAGGATCTCTAGACTTATGGGTAACATTAATATATTTATAAGACTAATGTATTTGTGCCTCGTTTTACTGATAAATTATTTTCCATGAAAGAGTAATAGAGAAAACACATTCATCACACGTATGGGTATTGTTGTCAAATTCTGTTTACATAGTAGACTTCTATGTAGTTAGTACAGCCATAATACTTATCAATACCACTTAACCAAAATGAAGATCGTTTGGAACATATTATCCTGAATAAACTTAGGCTATATTGAAATGAATGTAGTCTCTTTTTCAAGTGCATATAAACATCTGTTTATATCTTTCAAAATTTGGCAGTAGGCTGCTGGTAAACTGACTGCTGCATATTTATTCCCCACAATTTCTTTTTCTAATCCTTTGAAAATGAACATTTTTAAAAAACACTTTCATTTTAGGGGCTTCTCCTGCAGTCTCTAAAAATCCTAAAAGTTTGATGATTTCAATATGAAACCTCTTTTATTTTTTTCTTTACAACTTTCTATTCTATCTGGGTCTAGAGATAAAGACATTTATTTGGCTGAAAAAAAAATGTATCCCCACCCTAACGATGAAAAATTAGGTACAAAATATTTGCAAAAGACTGGAAAAGTAGAAAGCTACGTATTTGTCTTTTGTCTGATATGGGTAAATATACTGCTATTTGCCCCAGTACCTGTCCTATTTCTTCCCTTTTTTTTCTTTTAGTTTATTTGTTTTTTCATGAGAGTGACAGTGAGAGAGAAAAAGTACACTCAACATGATCTTACACAGCAATTCCCTCAGTCTCAGCCAGTCAGGACCATGGGGTGCATGTACTCAAGCGTATAGGTTGACCCAGGAACCGAACTTGTGATTTTCCACACGGATCCAGCTATTCCTGAGAAGTGGATTACCACTGCACCACTGAGCCTGATCATCTTTCTTTGAACAATTTTGTTGCAAGCACAGTTTGCCCTGTCTGTCCTGAAAGTCTCAGTTAATTTGGTCCTTTGTTATTCTTATTTTCTACCACACCTGTACTCCTTTTTAGGCTTGACCCTTTTGTCTATCTCCTGGCCCCATTGTTATCTTATTTATTTATTTATATTTATTTATATTTGTTATGCAGCTTACTGAGATTGCCCCAAGATGTGACAGTGGTTTTCTCAGGTGATTCTCTTTTCTTCCTCATCTGGAGTACTTGTGATCCTTTTTGTGGTCAAATTTTCCATTGTTAAACTTCCATCCCATTTGAGCCACATCCTGTGATAGTCGCTAGCTGCAAAATCCTTCCTCTTTTATGAAATATACTCTTCGTTCTCTTGTGGCCTATGATAAAAGCCTCTTTGACATGGTCGCTCTGTCCTAAGGTTCTCATCCCTTCCTGAGCACTGATATGTCTTTGTTGGCCATAATTATATCCAGAGGGGCAGCTATACCCACTGTTTTACCCACTACTGACACTGTCAGATGCTTGATTGTGACTCGAATGAGATTTCCACTTTGTATCTGGCTAACATTATAATATCTAGTGATGTTTGTACCTTATTTTTTTTTTTCTTGCCCCAAAGTCCCATAGTTATCATCATTTGTGGTTTCATTTTTGTTTGTCTCTACTTTAACCTTATCCATGTATGGTACCGTGTGTGGAGTCTGAAAATCCTGACAGTTACATGTTAAGAATTTTCTTCAAACTGGAAAGCAAATGGGATCAAAAAGCCGTGACCATTTTTCTGTTGTTCTTAAGAAGAAATATTTTTGTGTCTCTCCCAAGAGGTAAACTGCACTGAGGAAGAAAAAAATATGCAAAGGCTGAAAATCCTGTTACATGTCTTTTTTTTGCTTAGAAATCATTTTTGCTATTTTCTCAGTTTTATAAAAGAATGAAACAGCTGTGAGATACACTGTGTTAACTATTTCTCTTCTTATTTCTTCCTCTGTGTGTACAGCCTAGTTTATAGTTTTCAGTTACCCTGGCAGTTTGAGGAGTCCACTCAATTGAGCTCTGACTAGTGGAATGTTCGTGAGGGGTGTGCACAATTTCAAGGCCTTGCCCCTGTGAAACCTCCCACTTGGTCTTTCATGCTCTGACTTTTCCACAACCTGCGACTGAATTCACAGGATTATGGGGCTAGATCTAGCAGACGGGCAGAGCCCACAATGGAGGGCATTGACATACCCATGACTGGCGTGGAGATCTCATTCTGTTCCATGTACTTCAATCTAGCATCTGTCTTCATAGTCCACCCAAACTATAATTCCTGACATGACAGTATTAACTCCAAGTTATAATTTTAAAATCTATATACTCTTATTCTCTCTATTGTATTTGTTCCCATTTACCACATCTTCCTTCTTCCTTAGATTTCATTGCATGACTTTATGCAGTTCTCTCCACCCTTGGATTTCATTAGGTGACTTTATGCAATTCTCATCTCCCCTCACTAAAAGCTCTCTAACTCTATGAACTCTTATGATAAGGTGGATATTCACAAAGTCTTGTTATCACTCACTTATCACTTAGCAAGTTCTCCCCTGTATTTAATTCTATTTCTCTGGTTTTTAACTACTATGTAATGACTCACTTCAAAATCTGGCCCTGGACTCCTCAACTTTTTGTTTGTTTGTTTGTTTTTGTTTCTTTAACAACATAATGTGCTTTTATGGTGGGTACTGGTAATAGTGCACTACTTACATTTCTGTTGACACGCTATATTAGTAGAAGCCTCTCTTCTCGGATATGAGCTTCTCTGCCTTCTATTATCAAACTCTTACTTTCTTCCCAAGGAGATCAATCACCATGCTTCTCTGAATTTTATCCTGTCACTTTCTAAGCAGCATTGAGTCCTCTCTCCTTCATGACCTAACTTCCACTTATCTACATTATTAACACTTCTCACAGTTATTTTTACTTGTGTATGCAGCCACCAAGCCTGGGAATTCTTTAAGAGCAGGTCTCATATCTTCATCAGTCTTGTGTACCTCATTTTTCAGCATAGTATCTGCCACACACCAGGCGTATAGTGAAAGTGAGTTGAAAAATTATGAAATGAACTTAACTGTTTATGAAAACTCTCTTTTAGTATGTACCAACATTAGGAAGGATTTTATTTCCTGATCTGGAGCCAAGTAACTCAGACAACCCACGGTGCATTTGGTTTTCTGCCAAAGATGTCAAGAAGAAATTTTTGTGTTTCTCTGAAGTGATGTGGCTTGAATGATGGTTGTAGTAGAGACAGAGAAGCTGTGCTTCTAGTCTATAATTCAGGCATGTGTGGGTACAGTTGGGTTCCACAGAATGTTTGAGGTCTGGGGATTAAGAAGACAGGTAGAGGAATATATTTTAACCATTGATATTACCTTCCAAAGAACAGAGATCATTATGGGTACATGGGGGTACATGGGTATATTCCATTTCTTAAAAATAATGCTCTTATTTTACTTGGGAAGCAAAGGCTGGTATATTACTCAGGAAAATCTAACTACAATAACCAAAAAAAAAAAAAAAAAACTGCACACTCAGAAAAGTGCTTTACACAACCACTTATCTACATTATTAACACTTCTCACAGTTATTTTTACTTGTGTATGCAGCCACCAAGCCTGGGAATTCTTTAAGAGCAGGTCTCATATCTTCATCAGTCTTGTGTACCTCATTTTTCAGCATAGTATCTGCCACACACCAGGCGTATAGTGAAAGTGAGTTGAAAAATTATGAAATGAACTTAACTGTTTATGAAAACTCTCTTTTAGTATGTACCAACATTAGGAAGGATTTTATTTCCTGATCTGGAGCCAAGTAACTCAGACAACCCACGGTGCATTTGGTTTTCTGCCAAAGATGTCAAGAAGAAATTTTTGTGTTTCTCTGAAGTGATGTGGCTTGATTGATGGTTGTAGTAGAGACAGAGAAGCTGTGCTTCTAGTCTATAATTCAGGCATGTGTGGGTACAGTTGGGTTCCACAGAATGTTTGAGGTCTGGGGATTAAGAAGACAGGTAGAGGAATATATTTTAACCATTGATATTACCTTCCAAAGAACAGAGATCATTATGGGTACATGGGGGTACATGGGTATATTCCATTTCTTAAAAATAATGCTCTTATTTTACTTGGGAAGCAAAGGCTGGTATATTACTCAGGAAAATCTAACTACAAAAAAACAAAAAAAAAAAAAAAAACAACTGCACACTCAGAAAAGTGCTTTACACAACAAAAATGTTTATATATCTTTCTTTATATTAAGGTAGAGAGAAAAAGTCTAGAGAGAAAACTCTGTTTAGAGACTTGAGAAAAGTAAAGGAAAGAAGTAAGTCTGCAATTGAATGAAAAAGGCTGAAGGTAGAGAAACTTTCTTGTACTCCTTTCTCTCCAATCGTCATTGATTTTAAGTTAGTAAAACTTATGCACATTTCTGCTGAGGCTTTTTTTTATTAAGAGAAGGAATACAGCAAGAATAGATAGTTAAAAGACATTCCAATGGGAAAAAAGACTGTAATCCACATTATACATGGTAGGTAGCTTTGGAGAGAAAGACTTATACTACAATATAAAGTAAAAGAGCCATATGAATCGACAGATAGTTGTTTAAACAATACTATTATGAAATATGTTTAGAAGAGGACCAGCCCAGATCGCCACTTCTTCCATGATACCTTTCTTTTCTTTTTAGAGAGAGATTTTTGCTATAGAGTGAGTACACTCATTGGAGAGCCAGAGAGATAGGTAGAAAGCAAGAAATCACCTCCCAGGGGAGATGGTTACAGTGCAATCCCTTCTCCTCCATTTTCCTCTTGGGATTTTGGGCACTCGCATACATGCACCCAGCTTGAGTTTTAAGCCACCAAGTCCAAGACAAACTACATGGGAGTCTAGCAACATAGCCATTATGCCATCTGCTGGTCCCATCTTCCATGAATCTTTCTTGGTTCTCCATAAGAGAAGTAAACTTTTCCTTCTTCTAAGATCAATTATGTTGTGATTTTGTTTCTTTAGTTATATTTACAATGTGTCTCACTTTGGCATATGTTCTGTGCCACTCTACAAACTCTTGAAATTCAGAAACAGTATCTTTTTTTAAAAAAATTTAATTCGTGATTATTTAAATTTATTATAAGGTATGTGTGCTCATCATAAAGAGACACAGAGAAATAGAGGAAAAGTGAGAAAGCAAACCACCAGGTCCAAGACTCAAACCACCATCAGACATATGGGAGTCCAATGCCTAAACCATCATACCACCTATTGGCCCTCAGAAGCAATATCTAATTTTATATAATGCTATGATTGATAATAAATAAGATGATTACTGGTGATGTCTAGTGTTCAATGGGCATTTATTGAACTCACATTAATAATCAACTCTTTCTTGTAAGTTAGAATGAATGCTACAAAGAAAACAGTCCTGGGACCAGCAGTTAGCGTAATGGCTATGTCGCTGGACTCCCATGTAGTTGACCGCGGTTTGCGTCCCGGACCCGGTGGCTTAAAACTCACGCCGGGCATGTGTGCGTGCATGCCCAAGATCCCAAGAGGAGAAAGGAGGAGAAGGGATTGTGGTGTGGCCATCCCCCCTGGGGGATGATTTCTCACTTTCTGTCTCTCTGTCTCTCTCTGTCTGTATTGCGAGCACAGACACCCTATCACAAAAAAATAAAGAAGAAAAGAAAATAGTCCTCATTTCTTCCTCCACATGCATATTTTCTCTATTAAAAAAACTTGAGAATATTTATTATAGGCAAATCTGTCTGGAATGAAACTTTCAGCAAGTACCTGCTGGAATTAAATAAACACTTATCAAATAACCAGTGAAAATCACAAATCTAAAGACTCGTGCTTACAGTCAGCCTTTGGAAGTTTAAAAGACTTCCTTCTGATAAGAATGAAATTTCTTTGCCAAATAATTACAACCACTTAGCACTGATGAAGAGAATGTCCTCAGTAGGTGTATCTGTACATATGTCCCATGGAAATTCAGAGGGGGAAAATAAATGGTTCTTGGAAGATCTAGACTCAATGGTCCTGCCTAAGATTCTCCACAGAGACAACTGCTTTGTACCATTGTACTCTCCAATTAATTCAAACAAATGTTGAGTTGAAACAGAAAGCTGGTTTGTTATCACGGAACATAGGTGATAATGACTTTGAAATCAATACCTGCTGAATCTTTCTCCTTATTCTCCCTAAACATACAGATGCTGCTCGATCAAAGGCAGGACTGTTACAAAAGGATTGATTTCCCATTTCCCAACACATGTGGCTTAACTAGCAACCAATTGTGTAAGCTATGTTAAGCCGTTCTCGAGACAGAAGAAGGCTGTAAATATATAAATAACAGGGCTGTGTTTTCCTTCCTTCCTTAGAATGGATTTCTGGGCTCCCTTCTTTCTGGAGAAATTGATGTACTATGTTCTGCTTCTAAGCCCACACTGTAAATAACATTTTGACTTAGGGCATCTTGATAAAACATATTTAAAAATAAATCAGATGGGGCTGTAGGCAAAGATAAATTTGGAAGTGGGTACCTGCTATGGTTTTGCGCTCTGCGGCCATAGAGTTATACAGCCCAAACTGCACTCCTTTAGGCCACCAAAAAACAATAAAATAATAAAAATATAAATATGTGTTTGCAAATTATCATGTAGATTTTTTTTTTTCCTGTTGCTACCTCATGCATGGCTTGGTGATGTCAATAGTGTGGGTTAGGAAAATAAAGACAGTTGGCAGGGAAATCATTCTGAACTTTTTTCTTTTTTCTTTTCTTTTTTCTCTTTGGCAATGCAACTGTTATAGACAGTCATGTTTAACAAGATATTTTGCCCATAATTTTCTGCTTTTCTTAGAGCCAGCTGCAATTACTTGCTCTAATAAGAGCAAATGCCTAAGCAATTTAACATTCTTTCAGGTTTTTCAAACTTTGAAAGAAGCAAATATAAGTGAGAGACTCAAAGTTCAGGGAAAAAATCAGGTACCAAAACACCCAGTGTGGAAATTTATTGAAAAAAAATATTCTCACTTCTCCACTCTTTTCTATACCCATGTACTTTGCATTATGAACTCCACATTGTTCTCATCAAGGGGTAGAAACTATTTTTCTTCTCCTTGAATCTGGACTTTGTGACTTGCTTTGCCTAATATAACGTAGTAGACAAATAGGGAACTAGTTATGAGCTCGGCACTCAGCAGGCCTTGTGGGAGAGGCTCTGGTCACCCAGAATCCTGCAACTACTACATGAGCAAGTCAGGTTTACCCCGCGTGAGTATGAGAGCTCACATGAAGGACAGCCCACTTTGACCAGATAAGTCCATCCCAGAGCAGCCTACACCAAGCCAACCTAAAATCCTGTGAGAGAACCCCACGGATCACAGGTATTTTCCCCAACACATAGCTGACAGCAGATGCCTGAGTGTTCCTGATATAGAATTAGCCTTTTGAGACAAACTTCAAGTGCTAAACCTCAGAGTTAGGAGCTAACTTTATAGAAATTATTTTCAGTTATGGAGTTCTGAGGTATTTTCTATGAAGAAATAGCTAACTGAAACATATTATATATTGAACACTGAATAGGCCGGTATTTGAGTTAGATAGGCTGGTGCTCAAATTCTGACTGTAGAATGCAAATAGTTTTGTGAAGCATTTGACTTAATTTTCTCATTTGAAAAGTAGTAAAAGTTATATCTACAGTTATATTTTTCTAAAGAATAGAAATTACATATGTAAATCATTTGATCCTAAGCAAATAGTAGCTATTACAATCAAAGAGAAAGAATTATGAGTCAAGAAGAAGAAAAAGATGGAGAGAGATAGTAGAAGATAACAGGATAGAGAGAAGCAAAAAAATCGAGGGAAGACAGAGTCTGTGAGAGTGATAATGTGTGTATGGGTGTGGGAGAGAGAAGTATTAAAGTAATCCAGGGCATAGAAAATTGAGGTTGGAAGGCTCCCTTCAACTCCTTACTGAAATTGATCCTATGATTACTATCTGTGTGCATATCCGCTAGGATTAGATTAATAGCATGGAAGCACGACTGTTATTTATTAAACCCATAATATAATTCAGAACTCTGCTAAGGTCTTTAGAAACAATATTGCACATAATCCTCATAGTATTCTGAGGTGACTGTGATTGTTATCCCATATTATGCTGAGAACACTGAGGCTTACAGGGTTAAAGAGACTGCCCATGGCCACATGGCTAATAAAGAACAGAACCAAGAACGCATTCTCTGTGACACTGGGCCCTAAAGCCCCATGAAGAATCTCTGTAAATCAGGTATGTCTTAAGTGCACATTAAGCTTCATAAATCAGATACATCCTTTAGAATGCATTAAGCAAGATGTTAGGTTCATCTTTTAAACATCAAGGAACCTACGGGCTTAGTTAGTTTGAAGTGACAGTCCCTTTGTCTTTATCCTTCTCTTCGAGGAAATAGAGACCTTTTGCATTAGAGTCAGAATTTTGTAAATTGGTAGGGTGCATATTTTCTAGCCATTAATGCAAGAAGGAGATTGTTATATGCACCAGGTCAAGAACATTACCCTGAGGATCAGAATTTAGAAATGACTTACCTAATATTTCAACCAACAACATGTCTTTTCTCAGCTGGAAAAAAAAAAAAATGGTAATCTAAAACAAACTCAGAAAGCCCAAGGGATTGTCCTCTCTCACATTTTGAATATTGAAATAAAGGACCAGACATTTTATTTCTAAGCTTTGATTTATGTCCATAATTTTGAGCTGTTAATTTCTTTACTCCAATACATAAATCTAATCATTACAAATTTCAGTGAAAAAACTTACAAACCAAATTTGTGTTTTGAAAAAATTTGTGAATACCAAACTTGTGAGATTTTTTTTGTAAGTCAATTAAAGAAGTACATATCATGAAGCTGATTTGTAATCTCAGCCTATTTATTACATAGATGTTTTGACAATTGGCAAGTTTAGCATTATTGCCTTCAAATAACTTATAATTCAGATTAGTAAATGGAGTGTTGCAATTTCTCGTAGCTAAGAGAAACCTTGTGTAGCTAGAGCTTCAAGTGACCCAACCTTGACAAATCAAATGTACTTACAAAATTATTCTCAAAGCTTTTATGCATATCCCAGAGTTCCGTCTTCTCAGAAAGAACTTTTAAGCACAGTAGGATCTGAATTGCTGGCAAGATCATTACACAGTCGAATACAGCACAACTGAAAGAAAAGAGAAAGGCATCCTTCATGGTTTTCAGAACTCAAAAGTCAAATGTAAAAATTTGAGAATGTTTTAGTTACTTTTTTTCTTATTTTCATCCTTGAATAGTCTCCCTATAACTTAACCAAAAATATGACTCCATATTCAAAACTCCATGAAGCTTAAATACACAATTTTTGCCTTTCAGAATGATTTGGATGGAACTTCCTTCTTATGCATTATTTATTTTTAAACTCAATTTATCTAGTGACTAAGAAAATTTTCTTAAAATGGAGAGTCCTGAAAAACCACAGCCAGACTTTTACACTTTTTGTTGCTTAATGGCAGTACTGTTCTATGGAACCAGGAATCTTCGAAAGGCAATGACTGGCCCCAGACCACTTGTCATTTAGAATAAGGGGAACTTCTTGAGTCCATACTATTGATCGTGTTCTTTCACACTCATCTGATTCTCAATTCTAAAAACTAATCATTGCAGTAATTATCACTGTCTTCCAACTTGTGCATAATAAAATGGAAGAAAATTACCTGCTTAAGGATGAGTGGCACTCAGGAAGTACTAATATAGAGATTCCAGTCCTCAAGCATTTGGTTCTGATTTCCTGACCCTTTGTCTGCATTTTGTTGTCTTTCTTAGTCTATATGTTATTGAATGGCCTCCTGTCCTATTAAGCACTTAAGAAGCAATGTGAATGAAGTAATCTTGCTTGTTTCTCACAACTCACTAGAAAAAAAGGTGTGTTTTATCCCATTTTCCTCTACTTTTCTATGCTTTTGCCCTTGTTACTTTATAACCCTTGTTGTCATACTGTCTGGATATCTATCCTTCTGAAAGAAAACATTCTTCTGTGAAAAAAAAAAATTCTTCTGTGTAAGCCATCTTCCCACTGCTCCCAGAACCTCCCGGTTTTTGCCTGTCATTTTAGAGAGCAGATGATAATCCAGTAACTATGTAAATAACACAAAACAGGCCTAGGAAACTAGTGAACCATGAGTAAAACATGAACAATGAAGCCTTCAAAATGCAGTTATTATTAATTCACACCTTCAGGATTATTGCTTTGTGTAAAAGTATTTTTAATGAGGAGAGATAAACAAAGCTTTTAAAGATATATGCCACTGTAACTCTGGATCATTGATTTTTAATGATTTTCCTGGGATGTAAGTTTACTTAAAAATTTTTGCTAGGGTTGAGATGCTTGTTTTACATAAACTGATATGAGCAGAAAGGTCTTCCACTTTCTTAGAGACCAGAAACATTTATAATATTATGCATCTTTCTGTATGTGACTGTTATCATAAACTTCTCAAAGAAAATCTGAGTACATGTGTGAGTATATATTCCTTTTAACTACTTTAAATTCTCCAATGTGAGAAGAAAACACTTTGAATTCTAATATATAAGACACAAGTCTCTGTCAGTGTGTGTGTGTACACATGCACGCAAGTGTGTATTATGCATGTGCATATGAAATGCATGTTTAAAGGCTCGCATTTTGATTTACAGTACTAAAATGCTTATCAAATTCAGTGAGTCCTCTGAGAGTTCAAAACAGCAGATGCTTCAAGGACACCAATCTTTAATCTTTCTTGTGAAATTACTGTATATAGTCTTCCTGGTTTCCTTATGTAGCAAATCTGTTCTAAAATACTATAACTCACTTATGAAAGTCTTCAGATTTTGCAAGTGTTTTCAAGGACAACCATTTGTGTGTAAAGAAAAGTTTATATAACCTGTGACAGGTACTGAAAGACAATAGAATTATAAGGAAAACTGGTTTCAAACATTATTATCTTCCCATTGCTCTGAATCAAAGCTTGAATGAGGACAACTGAGCAGGGTATAGAAGAAAATCCTTAAGAACTTGAATCAGACATTCTATTCCTAGAGCAGAGAAAGATTTTAATTCAGTATGTGAGAGCTAGTAGGACTGGAACCATATACAGCTTATTCAGACTGAATCTCCAGTGTTTCTAACAATATCTAGGACACTGCTATGGTATGATGATAATTTTATTATTATTCAGATATGGTGAGGCCAACAAATTAGGACAATTGACACCAAAAGTATAGTTTATTACAGTTCTAAGACTGGGATCCAGCAAGCCATATGGAGAAGCCCTCGTGTTGGTCAGCAGGCAGAAAGAATGAAGGGAAAGTGTGGGGTTAGGACTATCTATTATAGTTAAGTTTTAATGTGCTCTGGGGTATATGACTATTCCGAGTGCATAGTCTGACCCAGCATTGATTAAGATAGGGGAATATTGGTTTGGTATATGAGAGATCAATAATTGAGGTGGCTGGGAGACAGGAGTAAAAAACAAGCTTAGTGCAGTCATGGAATATATAAATACTAAGCAAGTGAGAGAATGAATGAATGATCAACAGATTGTTTCAACTCTGGGTTAAATCTTTATTCACATCTTCTCTGAAAATGAACACATGACTTTAAAGAGAACGGAATACTGATATGTTTCAAAGTTTGTCATTCCAAATGTCAACAGAATCATTCAAATCGTTTTTTTTTTTTAAATTAGAGATTATATTCTGTCTAGAAGTAAATATGCTATCTATAGGCATGTCTAAATTCAAAAACCAGAATACCCGTATGTAAGAGCTGTCTGGCCTTGGGTAATTCATTTTTCTTCTCTGAATCTGAATTTTCAGTTATTGAAGAACTTAGACCCTTGCATAAGTAAATATGGGTGGTACTGAAACAAAACCATAACCAACCCACATTAAAACCTTTAAGAGAATTTATTTGAAGTGAACATTTTAAGAAATAAGTGAAAGGGAAAGGTCCTTTAATTTTTGGAGGCTTTTAATGACTATATGATACACATTGAAACAACCAAATAGTTGCACTATTATAGAAACTTTAGTCACATAAATAAATTTACAAGGACAGTTTAATAACATTTGCAATTAAAATTATTCCCCAGCATTGGAAAGACGGCTTTCAATTACATGTAGATCATTGGATTCATTTAATTCATATGACTTGTAAATTTGAGAGTCTGTGCTTCTAAAAATAAAGTCATGAAATCCTTCCTGAATATACACAACTCTATTAACAACTTCCTTAATTAAAATTATCAACAGTAAATACATTTGATTACAGTTGCTATATATCACACTTTATTTAATGATTTCATATACTACCATATTGGAATTTCCAAATAATGACTTCATCTTAGTATATGCAGGCTTAATGGAACTTTGACTTTAGTTTCTTTTCTTTCTTTCTAATTTTTTTTTTTTGCTTGTAAAAGTTCATTTTATTTGACATCTGCCTTGATCTAAGTAGTTTCTTTTTTTTTAAGTTTATTTATTTATTTTTTTTCTTCCATGAGTGAAACAGAAGAAACAGCACAATCCTTCACAGGGCCTCACCACCATTTATCCTCAGCATAGCCAACTCAGTATCATGTGAACCTGTATACTCAGGGAGGTTTCTGGATGTGAAGCTGTAACCCTCAGTGTGGGCCACCCGTTCAGAGCATGACACTTTACCCTTGAGCCACTGCCTGACCCATAGTTTCCTTTCTAAAAGAGGACAATTTGTAAATTTTATTTACTTACAAGCAGTTATATTGAACCCCATGAAGCAGACAATACTGAAAATTAGTCAAGAAACAAAAAACAAGCTATTGATCAATTCACTTTAGTGTTTAGCTCAGGGAAAAAGAATCAAGAAATGCCAGATGATTAAACAGACAAGTCAAAAGTCTGAGAAGACAATGCAGAGGAAGTGACAATAGCAAATTAAAGTGAGTTTTCTGAAACTCTCAGCTAATTGAGCATATTCTAGAGATAAGAGTGGAGATCTACAATGAGCAACTTGTTTGTGACAGAGAAGATACTGCACTTTGCAATATTGTCAAATAGACAAATGATACATATCTAAGATAGCAGTTAGGTTTAGTTTAAAAGCAATTTGTTACTCATCTTCATCTTCAATTAGATTTATGTGCACTCCATTAGTCCAAATGTGTATGTAGTAGTGGCCTCTTTGCAGAAAGAGCTTGGAAAATTATCAAATGACATATACACTTTCAGGTGACTAAATCATTCAAAATCATTCGCTAATTTTAAGAGAGAAAAGCACCAAAATAAAACTTTACTAAGTACTCTCTATGTTTCTTCCAAGTAAATTATTTAATGTTGTTAACAAGAGTTCTTCCTGAAATTAATTGGATGTGGTCATGGTATTCAGGCATAGCTGGGCATGTAAGTGACATGATCATTGGAAGTCTATTTACATGTGGTTGAAGAAACTTCCTGGAAGGAACTTGTGCTAGCATGAGTGATCTACAGCTACCATCTTGTAGCTTATAGCACAATAACAGCAGGTGACTGAGTTTTGCACTGTACTTTTTATGTAGATTGTCTTATTGCCCAGTCACTAAGGACATTTGGCCTAGATAAAAAAGAAAAGAAAATTGCAAAGAATCTCTCTCTACATTGTCCATGGATCATTGAGTTCAGCTCAGTGTTAACAATATTGTGATTACAGCCTCAGCAGCATTATTGGAGGGATCTGCATTGATACGAGTCCCTCACAGGCTGGTGCTAGATAGCATGGATAAGGGTTAGAGAAAGACCTGAGGAGGATGGCATGATAAAAAACAACAAAAAGATATTCAACAAGGAACAGATTTTTAACTGTGTGTAATAACTCTCACATACACACTAGGAGACTTTAAAAACTTCAAGGAAAAATATAATTGAGACTTACAGGTGGTACCATTCAGACAGCTATTTAGGGAGACAGAATTCTGATTCCAGGACTGTGGCCTAGCTTGTCTCTAACCTCGTAGAGAAGATCCTGGCACTGGAGAATGGTAAATTTTAGGTGGAATTGCATTTTATGGGTATGCCTACTTTGTTGTTGTGACTTACTTGAAACCTTTGGCACTATGCCAAAGTTGATGTGGTTCCTCCAACCCCCTACTGAGATCCCTACAGCTATTCAGAGCTTCAAAAAATAGTCTATAG